TGAGTAATGTTCCGTGCTAATGTTTTTCCTTTAAGTATGCAGTAATTTTGCCTTGACTTTGCAAGTAGTGCTTGCGGTCCACAGTGCATGTTGTCTGTGTGGAGTTCTCGTACCAGGAATTTGAAAATTAGGTTATTGTATGGTAATAATATCGGATGTTTCTCATTAAATGGTATAACTGATTTTTCGATCCTACCGCCCACTCGTATGATGTTATCCTTGTCCAGAAACGGTTTCGTGGATTGTGGTTGCATTTGCTGTCTACAACGCCATGTTTTATAAGGTTCGTCAACTTCTCAGGGAAATCTACGTGTTGGATCTTACGTAATTTAACAATTCTGGCACGATCCAACTCCTCATGTGTGAGTGTATTACCATTTATCTTTGGGTGTCGTAGCCGCATTATATATGCTATAGTGCGTTGTAGCCTTCGGAAAGAATTATTGTGATTGATGGAATAGGTTACATCACTTGTTTCGGCGACAGGAGCTGCTACAGCCCTTATGTTTCCCTTTCGTGTCAATGTTTCGTTATCGCTGGGCGTTTTGACGAACGGCTCTGGTCACTTTGATGGTGATCCATGAAGGAATAAAGGTCCGTGTTGTCAAGAAGTCGTTGAATCCAGATTCTTCACTAATGTTCCTCGTGACAGTATATCTGCGGTGTTGACGCCACTGATTTGCTATAGTCAATTCCTTGATTTTTGCAACTCTATTTGCGACAAAAGTTTTCAAACTTGATGATTGTGAATTTATCCATGATACGACAATTCTTGAATCTGTCCATAAATATGCTGGATTGCAGCTGCTCTTCATATGTAGGTCCTTTCGTACTCGAGCAGTAAGTTCCGCTCCTAATAGTGCTGCACAGAGTTCCAGACGAGGCAGTGCCTTGATAATGGTGCTACCTTAGATTTCGCACATAACAAGCGGATGGTTATTCTATTTTCTTTGTATATCGCCCGAATATACGTTGCAGCTCCATATGCTTTTTTCGAGTCATCAACGAAGGTGGGTATTTCCTTTGCTACTGGAATTCTTGCGTGAAACATGTGTCGAGGAATCTTGAACTTCTTAAGACTTTGTAGATCGTCTCGGTATATTTTCCAATCCTTTTGAAGGCTTGGCGATAACTCCTCGTCCCATCCAATTTTTGAATTTTATAGTTGTTGCATAAATATTTTTGCCCTTACCACAACTTAGGCAAAGAATCCTAGAGATACCACTCTCTTGGTGATTTTCGTTGCCTCTGCCGCTTTAGCTCGGCCGTGAAGACTGTCAGATTTAGGACTCCATGTAAGTCCTAAATCAATGTCTTAATACTGTTGTGTTCTGTATTATCCATGATGCGGAATAAAATAATGAGATCTCAGAACCATCTGCGGTGTTACTTCCTTCATGTGGCCGAGTCTTTCGTACTCCTTCATAAACGTAGTTGCCTTGTAGGTCTGGATTACGACACAGTCTTTTTTCCAATGCTAAGAAACGCTTTATAGCTAACTCCCGGGACTCTCCCAGTTCTAACACATCTTCAGCATATGGTAATTTCCCTATAAATTTTCCGTCAACTGCCCTTTGTATATTCTTTTGAAAATGTGTTTCACAGTGTGACTTTGCTGGTGTCCGATAGGGCTGTGTTGATTCCAGATTATCCAATTTCCAAAATCGTTCCAATAACTTAGTTGTGCCATTAGTCGTAGTTGCTACAAAGAATGTGGCGACTATCGGAGTTGATCTGTTAACTTTTCCAGCTATTATCCAGCCTAGTTCAGAGTCCTGCATCAGCGGTAATTTTGGGCTCCGCAAGTGGTATGTTGCTTGGGACCAAAGATATGTTGTTTATTTTGTGGTTTGGTTGATCCACCACAATATGTGGTAACACGAATACCTCTACTCGTGTCATGTAACTTCCATTTTGAGATTTTATGAATCCAGGAGTGCTCTGAAGCTTCATTATTGGCCGTTGTTTCCATGCACTTCGACTCGAGAAGTGGCGAGTAGCACATAATTATTTTTTGTACTATGTGCTGCGGCAGTTATATTGACGTTATCTTTGTTCTCCAAATGTAGCAACGTATTATGTAGGAAGCATGATTTTTCAATATGATTGGGCCACAGACAGTTTAGGCACGACGCACATATCATTTGCTTTTCTTTATTGACGTATTGTTTCCCTCCTATCACTTCCTGTGCCAAGAATCTTTGTTCCATGAAGGCTAGGAATTCCTGGATGGATTGTAGTTTTCTTGTGTTTTTAATGGATTGCTCATATAGTACATGAGTAGTCCTATCCAATTTTCTTGCCAGTAGCACTAGCCAAAGTGGATCACAATTGTTGACTTCTATGCCACCGTTTCTCAACATAGTTAACATTTCTTAAATAATGTTGTGGAAACTCTTTATAGATGATGCATCGTTTGTCACTGGCGGTTGATCCAAAAGTTTATGTAGAGTCGTTGTAGTCAGTTTCTGACTCATGAATCATATTAGTGAATAAATCATGAAATTGTTGCCATTTTAAATAGCATCCGTCGAATTGTGGTATGGATAGCTTTGGTAGCTGTACTTGAGTTTGAGCAGCTTCAGCATTAATTGATGGCTGCACATCAATTGATATCGATTGAATTTAGAACATGGCTGCCTCTGCATTCAAATCATTTTCCATGTTGTATCCAAGAGCTATTGGATCTTCGAACAGTCTGAAGATCTCGAAGGGAATATGGTCTATTTTTATACTCATTCACGAAAGTGAATCAGTATAATGTTTTTTTGCAATGTCCGTCTTGCTGTCCGTCTGTCTTTTCCCGATCCGCCCACTAGGGGCGTGGCAAATCGGAAAATGCATTTTCCGATATGCCATAGATCATATTAATTGAAGAGCTAGAAAGCTGAAATTAGGAATATAGATCCGCATCGACCACCCCAGATCACGAGCTATGGCGGATATATCTACGCCCATTGGGGACGTGGCAAATCGGATATAACTGTATCTTCAAGAGTTTTACAGCTACAACGCTGAAATTTTGCACGTAAGCTAATGTTATGATTCTATAAAAAAATTGTAAGTCTACGCCCATTAGAGGCGTGGCAAATCGGACCTGCAGATGTAGTCATTTTTTAATTCTGCTATATTTTGGGCACTATTGATGCCAGAGACCTCAAATTTTGTATAGATACTCGGGCTGATCACCCAAGACCAAAAAGCTTTGTCGGATATATGTCCGCCTACGAAGGGCATGGCAAACCGCAAAAGTTTATATCTCCTAAAGTAAAATAGCTAGAAGCTTCAAATTAAAAGTAGTTAAATTACCAGTAATCTCCTCTATCGATGACCTAAAAATAATTTTTACGCCTCTTTAGGGGCGTGGCATATCGAAAAAAACCCTGTAGTTTACACATTTTTTAAGCATTCAAACTTTGCAGTTAGGATACTGTTATCTCGTTCTAAGAATTTACCAAAAATGCGGTATTCTTTTACTTCGACTTTTGAAAATCATTTTTTGTCCTTAGTCTTAATTTGATTGTTTCTTATATATACCTCATCTCCTTCATTGTATTGTATAGGTGCTGTTCTTTTTTTATACCCTGAACCCATTTTCAATGGGAAATCAGGGTATAATGGTTTTGTTGAAATGTATGTAACAGGGAGAAGGAGGCGTGGCAGA